GCTGGCATGAAGTGGCGGCTTACTTCTCACCGCTGGATTAACGTGTATTTATATTTACTGTTATACAGCGTGGAAGATAATAAACATAGTAATAATAATCTAAATTTCTTATATGGTTTACTGTATACAGTAATATATGCTTCGTCTCTTGTGGCGCAAATCGGTTTATGCGGCGTTCGGGCTGTTAACCGAAAGGTTGGGTGGTTCGAGCCCCACCCAGGGACGGTGATTTTATTTATGTCCTTTGTTTTTCTGGTTCGAGCCCACCCAGGGACGGTGATTATTTATGTCCTTTGTTTCTCTATTTTCCCTATTGTGTTACAGTTTTGAGATATTTTGAGAGCTGCCGTCTGAACGTGTATGGTCTAAACACATCAGATCGTCACCGCCAATTAATCTACAACATGTCAGCAGCTGCGATCTACAAACCAACCCTCCTCCAACTGTGCACGTGTCCTTTAGGCACAGGACTGGGGTCATCAAGTTACTTTTGTGCCTAATTACTGGTGATTACTTTTTACGTAAGTGCAGATTTCATAACGTATCAAATATTATCGATTTTGTGAAATACTCTAACTGCAGTAATTAACTGTGATGGGTTTTTTGCTGTGTAAAATTGGTATTTCATCTTGCACTCATTTAGTTTTTGAACTCTTGATTTATGCTTTAAGTAGTATGTTTACAGTATTGTCCAAGTAACCTGTCATTCTGCACTGGCAAACTGATTATAGTAAAACACCCTGCTGAAACAATGACATTTATAGCGAGTACAGCTGGACCTGGATAGTTAATTATAAATATCAGGAAATAACTTGTTGTCATTTATCTACAGTCCTAGCAGTATGTTTCAGGAGTTTTTTTTCATGTGGCTTTTAGTGTAATTTCTGTGTCTTCCTTGGGCCCCATGAGTGTTGTTTAATATTTAATATATTGTGTAAACAGCTAGGTTGGCATATTTTTTTTCACATGTAACTCAATGGTTTCTCAACAACAAATCAATGGCTCAGAGGTCCTCATCTCTACAGTAATAAACAGTGTTAAGAGCAGTTGATTTATCAAACAGCACTAATTACATCGAACATTTACATTTAAAATCTGTTGTGTGATTTTCCAAACATTTTGTGTTTCTGCCTCTTATTGAGATGTCTAGAATTAAGAAAACCCTCTGAATGATCAGTTGTTATCACTAATCTTACTGCTCTGATCAATAAACCATTCCAAATATGATCAAATGAAATGAAGCAACCCCCCTTTCTCATATTCTCCCACTCTGCCCTAACATGTTAGCATTATATAGATTGCTGTGTAGTGTCACAATTCCAACATTGACATCTGAATAAACAATATATAAACAGCCAAAACATGCTTCTGCATGAACATATTTTTTAATATTTTAATGTGATACGATGCCATCCACATCACACAAGGAAAACCTCCTTTATACATAGAAGTATGGCTAACACTCCATCGACCTGCAATTCTAGTGGCACCTTTAAATGTAATATAAGTTTCTGTGTCTGGCCAAGCACCAACTCACAGCCACTGTTTAGTTTGAAGATATCTTTCCTAATCAGCAGCAGCTCATCTTTGCTAGAAAACAGGATGGACGCAGCTTGTCAGACTGTAACATCCAGAAGTGTAGGTTAAACTCCCACGTGACAAACTATCACTAGGATTGTATCTTAAGTATTGTTGGCTATAGTCTATTTCAGAGTTGTTGCATCATGGTCATTTCTTTCCCTCCCCAGAGTCCACCCTCCACCTCGTCCTGCGTCTGAGAGGTGGTATCACTGTCTGAGACAACTGGCTCAAACTGTGAGGAGGAGGATCGGCCAAAGCTGCTGCATAAGGAATGTTTTTTATATTTCATATAAAAATGTGTCAAATGTAAAACCTTGTACTGGTAAGACTGTGTAATAAGTGCTTACGGATCCTTGAGTGGTTCTCAAATTGTGGGATGAATGGTGGAGGGTCATTGCAGGGAGGACGCACATTACTGCGGGGGGAAACTGTGGAACAAATAAAAGTTAAACAAATTTGATTCATGTGGGAACAAACAAGATCAGGGTCACAC